AAGAATATGCCTTTTTCATTGCCTTTTACTTTAAAACATTACATATCACCACATATATTTTTAGTGTATAAAATGCTCCAAAGAAATGTGAGACTCAAAAAAATCTAATATTTAGTATTCTTAACTTTAACATTAAAAATTATAAGTGCAATCTGACCTACTTCTATGCTCCACGATAATGGAGGAGAGTAATAGCAGAGATAATTTATAACCTCAGATAAACAATCACTGTTAGCGTTAGCTTTTTTCTTCCACATAAATATTTGGAGAATGACTTAAAAGAAATTAGAGTAGCTGTCAACATGCTCATGTTCTGTTTCTCTCAACACTAACCAACTGTGCAATACGCCAGGTGAAAGGGTATCCAGAAGGAAAGGAGACAACAAACACTTAAACTAAGATAGGCCAATCAGTTTAAAACAACTAAGACTTTATTTTCCAAATGTTTGCAATTCCTGAGATAGGCTCTAAAAACAGAAAATAAATTCTCTAAAGTTAAAAAAAAAAAAACAACCTGCTGCATATGTCCCTGTGAGTGCAAGAACTTGGATTTTCAGGCACTACCCAATCTTCAGGAGAAATGGACCTCTCTCTGACTTCCTGGTTTAGCTATGCTATAGCACTTGCATGCCTACACCTGCAGCTGGGGTCTGTTTTCCTTTCACGCAGCTCCTGCCAGATTACAAACAACTTTGGAGCGTCCACATCGGAACACTGTGAGGCCACATGATGCAGTGGTCCAGGGGCAGGCTCACTTGGAGTCAGGCTGCTGGGGTTCTCATCCCAATGCTGCTGCTCCTGAGCTGTGTGACCTTGAGCAACTGTATTTAACTTCTATGGCCTTCCGCTTCCTCATCTATTTATTGCGGAGGATAAAAATGATAGGGTTGAAGATGAGACTAAACAGGGCTTGAATCATTGTAATCCAATTAATATTATCCATTATTATTCTTAATCTGAATGACTTAGAGCATCAAATGTAGTTTTTACACATAGTAGCACTTAATAACTATCGCTGGCTCTTCCTATCTATAAAGACTCTTTATGTGCAAAACTTTATATCCTGCAACAAACTCTGGCTATTACTCCATCTCTTCCCTTTCCTCCTTCGCAATATTTTGTATGAAGACGTTAGAACTAACGAAAAGCAAGTACCAGTGACAATCTCCACACCCCAACTGCTGAAATCCTACAACAGTTCAGGTAACACAACCCAGTGCCAAGAGTCCACCAGGAACCGTAAGACCAGTTCATTTCTTCCCCCTCACCTTTGCCATCCTTCACTACCACCGAAAATACAAACCGTGCTGGGCAGTTCTCCTCTCCTGGAATCTCGGCCCTGTGCCACCTGTGTTTTTTCACTCCTAACTCAATCTCCCCTTATTTTCCACTGCACTTTCTCGTACAAAACAACTGCACATCTGTGACAAGCTCTCCCTCCACCTGTGGGTGTGTGTGAACACCCGCAGACCTGCCCAAGGCCACGGTTGTCTCGCAGGCCTTCTGAGTGGATGCCATGCAGTCTCCCGGGGAGACAGACTGGGAGCTGTGGTCCGTGCTCTGCTGTCCCTTCCAGTTTGGTACTCTCTGACCCGCATTCACGAGCCGTCCTACTGAGCGGACTGTCCTCCTCAGACACTGTCAAGCCCTCCCTGTCCCTTACTAACCCACTAGAAACTCCCTCACCCCCGGCATCGCCTCCTGCTGCCATCCTGGACGTCTCCCACATCCAGGTGGTGACCCACGCCCCCCTGGCCTAAGTCTCTTCGCCCCTAAGTCCATGGCTTTCTGCCCCATTCCACCTCAGCAAACTAACCCTGAGAAGCTGCCTTGTATCAGCTTTCATTCTGAAAACTTCAACTGCAGAAGACCATCCTCTCTGGTCAGACACCCTCACCCATCAGCTCTCCAGCCCTTTCCTCTCTCCCCTCACTGACCACCGGGAGCCAGGGCTCTCAGGCCTTGTGGCTTCCCCTCCACCCGCTGCTGGCCAGATGGTGACATCTCTTCAGCCCTTCTCGATTCTTTAATCCCTCTATCCTCCTGAGTCATCTGCTCTATGATGGATCAACACTCAATTTACTACAATTCTCCACTCCTTTACCCAGAAGAACAACCTGCCATCCCTTGTATAGGATGTCCAATCTCAAGTGGCTCCCCCACTGACTATCAAGTCTATTATTATTCCCTCCTGGGCTATTTCAAGACCCAATTACACATCCATTTCCTTTGCTCTATAAATCCTTTGCTTTGTATGTCTCAGAGATAATAAAGATCATCAGGCATGAATTCCCCTAATTTCCTGTCTTTCTCCACCTACAAATTGGCCCCACTCATGCCTGCCCTTTCCCCTGGCATTGTTTCGGAGAAAGAGTGGGTCCCCTCCTAGCCAAGGTTGGTTCATTCACATAAGCTGTCACCCCATGCCCTTCTGCCTCCTCCAGGACTTTTCTACATCAGTGACGCCCTCTCTTTCCAGTATTTTTAAACTCCATGTCTGCACTAGCTCTTTTTGCTCAGAATAAAAACACAGGCAGATCTCAGATTTCAAAATGATTTACTGTACGTCACTACTAGCTATTGCCCATCTGTCGTTCCTTCCTTCAGTTGAGCTTCCTGGAAGGGAAGTCTACATTCGCTGCCTCCTTGGAAGGGAAGTCTACACTCTTTGCCTCCAACATCCCTCTCCCATCTTCCCTCCTCCAGCCCAAATGCCAGAGTCCGATGGATCTTAGCCCCTCTCCCTGGTCATTCCTTTCTTCCTTTATGAAATTTTGTTCTCAGTTTCTGCAATTTTACTTTCTCCTGAGAAAAGCATTTTCACACAGATAACCTGAATTTTTCCTCACAGAAACTTATGGAAAGTTAAAACAAGTGTGCCTGCTCTCAAGGCTTTCCCTTGCCTATGACAACACAGCTGGTTCCTGGAAACACTGATGCTAGTTCCAGCAGACTGGGCTTTCAGTCCAGGGATCTAAGAGTCCAGGGTATCTGCTATAGGCTAAGAATCAGTAACTGGAAATACTAACTTATCACGTCTAATTTCATCCACAAATATTTATCGTGGGTTTTTCTTATTTAAATAAATAAATATTATTTATTTGTTTCTCCAAAGATGAAACTAACATGTTCCCTTCCCTTCTTTATATGACTATGTGGTTATTTGTATTCTTATATTGATTCTTATTTTTAATAATGAGATACTGCCTTCTACTGCTTCAACTTCTCAGATTTGGATGTTTTATTTACTTTTCCAGGTTATAAGAGCAGTCTTTAATAATTATTACTGCAATATACTAAAGATTATCAAATGTAGTTGTATAATTAAAACATTTTTCATCAATATTTTATGATTCCTGTCTATTTATATAATACAGTTATAAAGGAGAAGGAATATAGGGCTCTGCCTGTGAAAAAGCCATGAAACAAATCATGAGAAAAGGGTTCATTTAAAAATGTAAGGATTTACTTTTAAATTCTATGACATGTGTTATACTTTCAAGATGCTGATTTGAAAACATTAAGAGACTAGGCCAGGCAGGTGGCTCATGCCTGTAATCCTAGCACTCTGGGAGGCCGAGGCAGGAGGATCACTTGAGGTCAGGAGTTCGACACCAGCCTGAGCAAGAGCAAGACCCCATCTCTACTAAAAATACAAAAATTAGCGAGGCGTGGTGACACACGTTTATAGTCCCAGCTACTCTGGAGGCTGAGGCAGGATGATCGCTTGAACCTGGGCGTTTGAGGTTGCTGTGTGCTAGGCTGACACCACAGTACTCTAGCCTGGGCAACAAAGCATGACTCTGTCTCCAAAAAAAAAAAAAACTCAGACATGGGAGGGAGTGGGGAGGCAAGGGCAACATACATAACCTAAACATCTATACCCCCATAATATGCTGAAATAAAAAAAAAAAATTAAGAGGCTAAAGCTGGATGGCTACTTTCAAACATCAATAAAGAAATATCTTACGGACACGTACAACTGAGAACCAAATCAAAGACTCCTTACCCTTCACAATAACAACAAAGAAAATAAAATGCCTAGGAATATATTTAACTAAGAAAGTAAAAGACCTCTACAGGGAGAACTATGAAACACTGAGGAAGGAATTAGAGGAGGACATAAACAGGTGGAAAACCATACCACGCTCCTAGGTCAGCAGAATCAACATTGTCAAAATGTCTATACTACCCAAAGTGATCTACAGATTCAATGCAATCCCTATTAAAATACCAACATCATTGCTCATGGATATAGAAAAAATAATTCTACACTTCATATGGAAACAGAGAAGACCCCATATAGCAAAAGCAATCTTAAGCAAAAAGAACAACATGGGAGGCATCAATTTACCAGGCTTCAAGCTACGCTATAAGGCTATAGTAACTAAAACAGCATGTTACTGGCACAAGAACAGAGACATAGAACAATGGAACAGAACTGAGAACCCAGATATAAAACCATCCTCATATAGCCATTTAATCTTTCACAA